CCCCCCTCCCTTACCAGCCCATGCCAGGGTTCTGGATGGCCCTGGTGTCAGCACCCAGATTAGCTGTTCCCTCCCGGATGGATCCTGCTGTCCCTGGGCCACCGCCAGGCCCTGCGCCCATCCCCTTCCCATCCCCATCCATCCCCACTCGCTGCCCGTAGGGCTTCACCACCTTCACCCCTTCCTTCTCCCAGCCCCACAAGCAGCACCGCCCCACATCCCAGGCTGCTGGGTGCAATGAGCGCACTGGGAGCTGGAGGGGTTGTTGGGCCGGATCCTGCCAGGGGCTGAGGTCCATCACACTCAGCTCAGCAGCGTTAGCTTCACGAGGCAGCGCCTGGACAGACCCCATCCCCATCCTTATCTCACTGCCTTCGTTCTCCCAGTCCTCATTCCCACTCCTGTCCCCATCTCCGTTCCCAGCCCCATCCCAACCTTACGCCGCACACAAGGGTCGGTGCAGCCCCTTTGGGGTGGCCACGCTCCCCAGCGCTGACACAACCCCACGGGCCGCAGCCCCCACGTGGGGAGCTGTGTGTGAGTGTGTGTGGGCCCAGCAGGGCCCGCAGGCGCTGACAATAACCTGGTTATCCACGATGGACAGCTGCAATCAGCGCCGAGCGGCCGCTGCCATAACTCACCGTGCCTCCCCCCCCCCCCCCCCCCCCCCCCCCCCATTTCCTGGTTATCGGGGCTATAAATGGGACGCAGCGTTGGCACAGCTCAGACCCCACCATGAGCAGCCTGGATGCCATCCGGGAGGGCTACGCACGCTTTGAGCCCCACGCCTACCTGCACAACAACTACGTGCCCCCCCGCGCCGACTTCTCCTCCGAGGAATGCGTGGTGCCCTGGAAGCTGAGATGTTTGGCCGAAACCTTCGCCAGCGGTGGGGAAACTGAGGCACGGGGTGGGGGGGCACGGAGCATCCCGCTCAGCTCTCCCATCCCATTCCTCACTGTGGGACCCCCCCCCCCCAACCCCACCCCCAGGTGAGATCTGTGGGCGCACGCTCATCGACGTGGGCTCGGGCCCCACCATCTATCAGCTGCTGAGCGCCTGCGATCACTTCGAGGAGATCGTGGCCACCGATTTCCTGGAGGTGAACCGGGAGGAGCTGCGGCGTTGGGTGCGGGGTGAGCCTGGAGCTTTCGACTGGAGTCCCTTCATCCAGCACGTCTGCAAGATCGAGGGGCGCGGGTAGGGCAGGAGGGGTTGGGGGGGGGGGTTGGGGGGCACATGGTGCTGCTGTGGAATGCTGGCCCCAAATCCCCGTGGAGCTTCGTGCCACGTCCCTGCAGATCGCGGCCCCTTGGATTTGAGGGTTGGGGGCTGAGACCCGCTGCAGTCGTGGTCCCACAGCCCATAGCGCTGATCCTGGCAGCTGATTCCTTTGGGATCCCACCCCCCAGGTCCCTCTGAGCACTGTGCTGGTCCCTATAGGATCCCAATGCCGTGTCCCCACATCTGCCCTGCTGATCCCCAGCCTCGCGTCCCCCCCTGTGCCAGGCTGACTCCTTTGGGATTCCATCTCCACATCCCTGCGGATGCTGTGCTGATCCCCGCAGGATCTCATCCCCATAATGCTGCTGATGCTGGGCTGATCGCTATGGGATCCCATCCCTGCATCCCCCCCAGGGTCCCATCCCCACACCGTGCTGATCCCTGCAGGTCCTGTCCAAACATCCCTTGCAGAAGTCAGGCTGATTGCTATGGGATCCCGTCCCCACATCCCACACTGGCTGCTGTGCTGCAGGACCCCAACCCCAAACCCCTATGGATGCCAGCCTGCTCCCTGCAGGACCCCAACCCCACACATCCCACACGGCTCCCCCTTCCCTCTGCCCCATCCCAATGCCACCCGCCGCCCCACAGGGAGCCCTGGCAGGACAAGGAGCAGCGGTTGCGGGGCCGCCTGCGGCGCATCCTCCCCATCGACGTGCACCATGCAGACCCACTGGGCGCCCCACTGCGCCCCCCGGCCGATGCTCTGCTCTCCACCTTCTGCCTGGAGGCCGTCAGCCCCGACCGCGCAGCCTTTGGACGAGCGCTGGTGAATGTGGGCTCAATGCTGCGCCCGGGGGGCCACGCCGTGCTGCTGGGGGCTCTGGGGGAGTCCTTCTACCTGGCGGGCGCCGCGCGGCTGCCCGTGGTGCCGCTGGATGAGGATGACGTCCGCGGGGCTCTGAGCGATGCTGGGTTCACCCTCCTTGATTTCCGCTCCTATCCCATGCCCCCCGCGCTGCGCACCGGCGTGGATGACGTCGATGGAGTGTTCTTTGTCCATGCACAGAAACCACTGGAAGGCTGAGCCCCCTCCCTCCCTGCTTCCCACCCTCAAAAAGGCCGCGCTCCTGAGTCTTGCCATCCCACCCCCACTGCGTCCCATAATAAAGCCTGAGCTGAGCACGGCACGGCCTTGGGGAGGCACGGCGGCTTGGGGGCTGTGCAGGCTGGGGGGTAAAATGGGGACGAGGGAAATGGGGGTCACTGCATCTCGAGGGAGGGGCTGCAGGGGCTTTTAAAGGGCATGCCAAGATGGGGGGAGTGGGGACAGAAGGGTGTGGGGGCTGCAGGGTGGGCGCTGCGTGGGGTGGGCAGGGTGGTGTGGGGTGACGGGAGCACAGCAGGGCTGGGTATGCAGCGCCCATAGAGCAGCCATGGGGTGCAGAGCAGGATGGGGGGCACAGAGTAGAGATTGAATTCCAGCTTTATTCACAGCACAGGGCACACCCTGCTGGGGGGCTGCACCCTGCTGGGTGGGGGGCACAGCCCCAGGGACTCCCCAAGGGCTGCACAGGGGTCACCCCCCCACCCGAAGGCACCGCTCTGACCCCACGCATTGCACTGTCCCCCCTCCGCCAAAAAGCCACCCAGCAGCAAGCAGGGCTGGGCAAAGCAGCATCTCTCCCCCTGTCCCCCAGGCACCAGCATACACAGGCACCATCACACCCCCCCCAGGGGTCCCCCTCTGTGCTCGGCCTCCCCCAGACCCTCACGTTCCCCCCCCCCCCATAGCAGTGTAGCCCCAACAGCCGTTGCCACCTCGCGGCTGCCGGGATCCACAGCAGGAGAAATGGGCTCAGCATCAGCAGCCAGGGGGGTTCACTGCCCCCAGCCTCTCCCAGAGAGGGGCTCCCGACCCCCACACAGGACAGAGTGATAGAAAGGAAAGCACATCTCAGAAGGCAGGGGGAAGGGGGAGTCCACGGCCAGGAGGTATGGGAGAGGGGGAGGGAGGAATTTGTTTGGCACACGTCGGGGCAGGGCCCTGGGGGGGCATGCAGTGTTTCATCCCTCCCTGCTGCTCTAGTCCACTTTGGAGAGGTCCGAGTTGGCCTTCAGGAGGTAGAGGCTGTCATCCACCAGGAAGCTGTGGGGAAGAAGGGGAGGGCTGGGGGGTGCAGATCGGTCCATTGGGGGCAGGAAGTGAGGGCACAAGGGGGGCCCAAAAGCCACCAGAGCCCAGTCAGACTCTGGAGCACCCCCAGCACCCAGGAGCAGAGAGGAGGCTCTGAGCACCCCCAATTCAAGACAGGGGACACAGCACTCCAAGGGCAAAAGAGGGGCCCCCAAGCACCTCAATTTCAAGAGCGGAGCACTGGGCACCCCATACTGAAGGAAAGGGCCTCAGGTGCCCCGATTTCAAGCACGGCCCTCACCTGTAGAAGAGGATGTTGAGCGGCACGGTGCTGATGTGCCAGAGGGCATGGGCGTCCAGCACCCAGAAGAGAGGAGGGAAGTCGAGGAGCTCGAGCAGAGCCCCCGCCTGCAGCAGCAGCACCACCACCGCACACTTCCAGACGTGGGGCAGGCGGGGCCGGTTCCGCAGGCACCACCAGAGCCACCACAGCAGGTTGAGGAGCCCTAAGGGGGGAAAAAAAGGGGGTAGGGGGATGGGAGAGCGATGGCCCGCACCATTGCGTCCCCACATCCTCCACCCTGCTCCCATCGTGTTCCCTCGGCCCCTACTCTGATCCCATCGTTCCTCCTGGACCCGTTGCTCCCACGTTCCCCACCCCAGCCCCGCTGCCCCAGCTCTCACCGATGGCCACGTTCGCAGCCATGTTGTAGCCGTAGTCAAAGCGGACGAGCGTCAGGTAGGAGATGTGGCAGGCGAGGAAGAGGAGGAGGAAGGCCCTGAAGACGCCGATTAAGGCCGGCCGCCGCAGCCCCATCGTCCTGTGGACAGGAGGACAGCAGTGACACAAACCCAGCCCCAGGAACAGCGTTGTCCCCAGCGCTGGGACCGCGCTCACCTGACCCAGCACAGGTACACGGAGTGCAGGACAACGGCTGAGGCGCAGAAGTAGTCGAGTTTCTGCAGGGCAGGAGTGGAACTGGGGGCTCAGACCCCGGGGATTCACCCAGTGCCCCCCACAAGGTGGGGATGGGGACCCTCACCTCTGTCAGCGCCGTGTCCCGCGTGTGGAAGACGGTGGACCAGAACCAGGCATTGACAGAGACCTGTGGAGAGCACAGAGTGCTGTTGTAGACAGGGACAGACGAGGTCACCACAGTGGTGGCTTCTGCACGTCCCCAGTGCCCCGAGGGGAGGACTTACCCAGGCAAAGGCGACGCAGGTGGGGTACATGGGGGAGGTGGGGGGCACGGCAGCTTTGTAGCGCAGCAGCATCAGGAAGCTGGCCAGGCCGTTGAGGAGGGAGGCGAAGGCAGAGGCTGGCTCCTGAACAAAGAGGAACCGGGAGAAGGGCCACTGCAAGGGGACGGGGGGGGGCGTCAGTTGGATGGAGGGAACGCAGGGAACCCCAGCCTCCCTCCCCCCCCCTTTGTGCTCACCTTGCCATGGAACTGCGGCACGCGGCGGCCGCCCTGCACGTAGAGCCGCACTGTGTGCCACATGCACTCATACTTGCAGTCATCGTGGCACGTCCAGCCTGGGGATGGGGAGCGGGGGGTCCCGGGGTGGGGCTCAGTGTGTCCCTCCTCCCTGCACCCCCTCCAGTCCCTCTCAGCACAATGGGTGTCAGGACACCCATTTGCCATGGCCAAGGAGAAAGTTCCAGGATGGCCCTAAGTCTCCCCAGTGCAGCCCAGTACCCCCCATCGTGGCTCTGTGCCTCCCAGCACAGCCCTGCATGCTCCAATGTGGCTCAGGTGTTCCCCCAGAACGAGCCAGCAACCTTCCAACCTTACCCCAGCGTGGCTCAGTGCCTCCCGGTCCATCCCAGTGCTCCCAGTACGGTCCCAGTTAGGAACCAGTGACCCCCCCCAGTCCGGTCTCACCTCGGCCCAGTGCTCCCCAGTGCAGAACTAGCACAGCCCGGTCACCTCTCAGCCCACACCGATACGAGCCCACAGCTCCCAGTACATCCCAGTGCTCCCAGTTCGGCCCCGCCTCCACGTGCAGAGGAGGAGCCTGCGCGACACGTGGGCGTGGCCACCACGTGGGCGTGGCCCGGAAGCGGCGGAGTCTCCAGGCCCCTCAGCCAATGGGCGGGCAGCGGGGCGGTACCTGTGAGGCCCATGTAGAGCGGCTGCCGGGCGCGGAAGTGCCGCAGCGCCGCCCCCGAGCAGTTCCGCCGCTCGCAGCGGCCCAGGCACTCGCGGTACAGCGGCTCCCGGTCGCCCTGAGAGCCGCGGGCCGGGCCCGGCGCCGTCGCCGCTCCCAGCAACAGCAGCAGCGCGGCCCTCGCCGCCCCGCCGCTCGCCATCGCCGCCCGGCGCGGCTTCCGGCCCGCCCCGGAAGTGGGGGCGGCGCGGAGCACCACGGGATATAGCGCCCCCGCTGGCAGCGGGCATCACGGGAGGGTTGCGGTCCTCTAGAGCGGGAGGATCATGGGATATTTCGCCCCCCCCCTCCTTCGGCGCTCTCCGCAGAGGCTCACGGGATATATCCCCCCGTGGTGCCGGGGGGCGTTGGAGGCCTCGAGGGGCTCAGGCCCGGTGGGGGGACCGGAGGGCACCCGGGGGTCTCAGCGCAGTGCGTAGAGGAGCGGGGCGGCGGGGGCCGCGAGGTCCAGGGCTCCCTCACAACAGCGGGCCTGGCTGGGAGATGGGGGCAGCTGCGAGACCGGCCCTGCCCCGCGGCCTCGGCCTGTACCGCCGCACCGCGCGTGGGGCCGGGGGTCGAGCCCTGCAGCGGGGCAGCCCGAGAGCTGCGGTGCTCCGGTGGAGCCGTGCCAGCAGCGGGGCCGTGCCCGGTGCTTCGCAGTGCCCATTGTGGAGCTCCCACGTTGGGGGAACCCCAAGATGGAGCGCACGAGGGTGGCTCCACTGCACCCCCCCAGTCAGGACCCCTGGTGACCGAGACAGGAAAACCCGGTGCTGCCGGGATGGGGTGACCGAGAGCAGCCGGGAGTCCCGGTACGGCGGGATCCCCGTGCCCGGTACGCCCGGCTTGGTGCTGCCTGTGTCGGAGGGGCCCCGCTGCTCCCGGGATGAAGCGCCCAAAGCCGCCCGGTGGTTCCCGTGGTTCCGATGCTGCCCGGGATATTCGGAACCCGCGACGTCCGGCCTCGGTGCTGCCGGGCGGCCGCGAGCAGCCGGGAGCTCCGCCGTTGATCCCGGCACAGCGGGACGGACGGTGACCCGACGCCGCCCGGTGCCTCCGGTGCTCGGGAGCGCGCGGGGTGGGCGGGAGCGCGCGGCGCGCCCTCTTCCCCGCTCCCAGGAACGCTGCGCGTCCCCGCGAGGTGGAGCCCGGGAGCGCGGCGGGAGGCGGCGGAACCGCACCGCAAACTTTCCCGGAGCGGCCGGCGCGGGGCCATGGGCCGCGGCCCGCGCTGAGCACCATGATCGCCGCCCGCGGCCGCCCGCTTTGCCCCGCGCTGCTGCTGCTGCTGCTGCTCGCCGCGCTTTGCCCCGCCGCCGCCGCCGAAGGTGGGTCCGCCCCGACGGGCAGCGGGGGCGCGGGGGGCGGCGGCGGGACTCGGTGCGGAGTTTTGCGGAGAGCGGAGGGGTCGGGGTAGCGGGGCCGGGGGGCTGCTGGGGCTTTGCGGTTGAAAGTGACCCCCACCCCTCCCGCCTTGCTTGTTCCCCCCCCCCCCCCCTCCCGGCTCCCCGCCGTGGGCAGCACCTCCCTCTCGGCGTTCCCACGCGGGATTGGGCTGAGCCGGGAGGCGCGGGGCCGGGGGCGGCCGCACCGCTCGTTGCCCCCCCCGGTGTCCCCCGGCGAGGGCGAGCTCGCAGCTCCTGCTGTGCCGTGTCCCCCAGGGGACCCCGAAATGGAGACGGCCCCGTCCCCACCGCGATGCGTGGGTTGGAACGGCTCGCGGGGGTCCCGCAGATCACAAGAGGTGCGGTGACACAACCGCGAGAGCCCCCCCTTCCCCCCCCTCCTCGTCCCAC